TCGACATGGAGCCTGATGTTAGGACAGATGTCCTAACAGTCGGCCGAATTTTAGGACAGTTGTCCTAACATCAGGCCTGATGTCATGATAGCTGCCCTAACGTTTGGGCGAATGTTGCGACAACAGTCCTAACATTCGGCGTGGTGTTCGGATATTATTGTACTGTCATTCGGCCGGGCGTTAGGACGACCATCCCAACGTCATACCGACCGTTAGGACAACTGTCCTAACGTTCGGCATGATGTTACGACATCTGCCCTAACTTCCGGCCGAATGTTAGGACGGCTGTCCCAACATCTGTCGTGATGATAGGACGATTGTCCTAACGTCAAGGCGAATGTTTGGATTGACATCAAGCCGGAAGTTCGGGCGCCAGACCTAACATTCGGCCTAATGTTACGATTATTTTCCTTACATTCGGCCAGGTGTCAGGACGGGCATCCTAACATCGAGCCGAACTTTAGAACAATTGTACTTACATCTGGTAGTATGTTAGGACAGCTGTCCGAACATTCAGCATTATTATATGACGCCTGTCCTAACATCGGGCCTGATGTTAGAACAGCTGCCCTAACATCAGGGCGAATGTTACGGCTGCCATCAAACCGGGCATTATGACAGCAGTCCCAACATTCGGCCTAATGTTTGTATCATTATCCTAACATTCGGCCGGATGTTGGGACAACTGTCCTAACGTCCAGCCCTAAATTATGACGACAATCCTAACGTTCGGTTTGATGTCAGGGCAGCTGTTGTAGCATTCGGCCGAACGTTGGGACAGCTGTCCCAACATCCGGCCGAATGTTAGGACGGTTGTCCTAACACCAGGGCTTTTGGCAGCATTGATATCAAGCGGGAAGTTAGGACAGCAGTCCTCCCGCGCCGCCTGATGTTAGAACTATTGTCCTAACATTCGGGCGGGCGTCAAGACGACAGTCCCAACGTCGAGCCGAACGTTGGGGCAGCAGTCCTAACGAGCGCCCTGGCGTTAGGACAGCTGTCCAGACATTCGGCCGGAGTTAAGACAGCTTTCCCAACGTCAGCCCTGATCTTAGGACTACTGCCCTATCATCGGGGAGAATATTAGGAATGACAACGAGCCAGGAAGTTAGGACAGCAGTCCTGACATGCGGCCTGATGTCAGGGTTGTTGTCGTAACATTCTGCCGAACGTTAGGGATACCGTCCTAACGTCGAGCCGAACGTTAGTGCACCAGTCCTGACATGCGGCCTGACGTCAGGCAAGCTGTCCTAACATTCAGCCGAATTTAAGGACGGTTGCCCTAACATCATGGCGAACATTCGGGCGGACATCAAGCTTGAAGTTAGAGCAGCAGTCCTAACATTCGGCCTGCTGTTAGGATCACTGTTCTAATATTCGTCTTGATGTTGAGGCAGTAGTCGTAACATCAAGCCGGAAGTTAGGACAGCAGTCCTAACATTCGGCCGGATGTTAAGACAGCTGTCCCAACGTCCGGCCGAATGTTAGGATAACCCCCCTAACATCAAGCCCAGTGCAATGACAGCAGCCCCAACATTCGTGCGAGCATTGCTATTGACATCAAGTCCGAAGTTAGGACAGCAATCCTATCGTTCTGCCTGATATTATGACAGCTGTGCTAACATTCGACCAGATGTTAGGACAATCGTCCGAACATCAAGCCGAGCGTTAGGACAGCAGTCCTAACATTCGCTCTGATGTTAGGACAGGTGTCCTAATATCTCGCCTCATGTTAGGACCGCTGCCATGACGTCAGCCCTGATGTTAGGACGACGGTCCTGACATCAGGGCGAATGCGAGGACTACCATAAAGCCAGAAGTTAGGACAACAGTCCTGACAGTCGGCCTGATGTCAGGGTTCTTGCCTTAACATTCGGCCGGATGTTAGGACTACCGTCCTAACTCCAAGCCGAACGTTCGGACAGCAGTCCTAACATACGGCTTCATGTTCGCACAGCTGTCATAACATTCAGCCGTATGTGAGGACGATTGTCCGAACGTTAGGGCAAAAATTCGGGCTGACATCGAGCCAGACGTTAGGACAGCAGTCCTAACATTCGGCCTGATGTTAGGATCATTGCCCTAACATTCGGCTGGGCGTTGGAACGGCTGTCCTAACGCTAAGCCGGAAGTTAGGACAGCAGTCCTAACATTCGGCTTGATGTTAAGACACCTGCGGCTGAATTGTAGGATTGCTGTCCTGACGTCTGGACGAATGTTAGGATAGCTGTCCTAACGTCATGCCTGATGTTTGGGCGGCCGCCCAAACGTTCGGGCGAGTATTAGGACTGACATCAAGTCGGAAGTTCAGACAGCAGCCCTAACATTCGGCCAGATGTTAGGACAATCGTCCTAACAACAAGCCGAGCGTTAGGACGGCAGTCCTAACCATTCCCTCTGATGTTAGGATATCTCTCCTAACATCAGGCACGATGTTAGGACAGCTGTCCTAACGCCAGACATGATGTTAGGACAACTGTCCTAACATCATGTCAAATTTTAGGATTTCCACAACAACAGAAGTTAGGACAACAGTCCTGACATTCGGCCTGATTTTAGAACTATCACCCTAATATTTGGCCAGATGTTAGGGCGACCGTCCTAACATCAAGTCGAGCGTTAGGGTAGCCGTCCTAACATTCGGCCTGCTGTTAGGACAACTGTCCTGACATCAGGGCGATTGCTAGGACTGCCATCGAACAGGAAGTTATGACAGCAGTCGGATCATTCGGCCTGATGTTCGGATTATTGTTCTACCATTCGGCGGGATGTTGGGACAATTGTTCTAACATCGAGCGTACCGTCCTACAGCAGTCCTAACATCTGGCCTGATGTTAGGACAGTTGTTCTATCATCAGGCCGAATGTTAGGACTGCTGTCCTAACAGCATGGCTGGCGATTGTTAGGACAGCTGACCTAACATCCGGGCGAGCATTAGGGCTAACATCAAGCCAACAGTGATCGCATCACTCCTGACAATCGGCCTGATGTTAGGACAGCTGTCCTAACATAGTGGCTGATGTTAGGCCAGATGTCCTAACATTCAGCCGAATGTTAGGAACATTGTCCTAACATCATGCATGATGTTAGGACGATTCTCCTAACATCATGCATGATGTTAGGACGATTGTCCTAACATCATGCATGATGTTAGGACGATTGTCCTAACATCATGCATGATGTTAGGACATATGTCCTAACATCACCACATATGTTAGGACAACACTCCTAGCATACCCATGTATGTTAGGATTTTTATCCTAACATGGTCAGTGATGTGGTGATTCTGTTATTATGAACAACAATATGTTAGGATTGCAACGAGTAATCAATGTGCAAATGTGCTGATACCGGGCTCATGTTTGAATGCTGCTAATCATGTTTTTCGTATTGGTTTCGCAACTCCTTTAAATAGAACAGCCCGCGTATGCTATGGAATTGGCCCCTGGCGAATGTGAAAATGTAACAATCTAACGGGTTTACCTGCTAAAGTTACTCGTGCTGTGGGGCGGTGGTGGCTGCGTGCCACGTTGACCCCAAACCCGCCGTGGGGCGTTGGGTGCTTGCAAGAGGTATCGTGAAGCTCTCTTGGGCTATCTTGAACGGTTGTTGGAAGCTTCCGTGGCCGCCCTGAGATAGTCGTGCGTGATTCTTGGGCCATCTTGTAACATTAGATTCTCGAGATGACGAGCACCTCATACAACGTGCAAATGCGAACTGAGATCATCATTATTAGACTTCTGAAGCCCTTTCGAGAAAACTCCAAGGGCCCTCTCGGCGCGTCTTGCCTGCTTCTTGTTCCGTCTTAGAGTCATCATCCTCTCTCCTCCTCCTCCTCCTCCTCCTCCTCCTCTTGCTCCTCCTTCTCCTCCTGCTCCTCCTCCTCCTACTCCTCCTCCTCCTCCAACTCCTCCTGCTCCTCCTCCTCCAGCGTCACCTTCGCCTCCTCCTCCTCCGCCTCCTCCTGCTGCTCCTCTTCCCTTATCATCCTCCTCCTCTTCTCTCCTCCTCCTCCTCCTCCTCCTGCTGCTCCTGCTCCGCCTCCTCCTCCTCCCCCTCAAACTCCTGCTCCAAATCCGCCTCCTCATCTTCCGTTTCTTCCTACTCCTCCTCACCATCATCATCCTTCTGTCTCCTCCTCATACTCCCCCCTCCTCCTCCTCCAACTCTTCCTGCGGTGGCTGCGTGGCACGTTGACCGCGAACCTGTGGGGCGTTGGGAGTTTGTGAGAGGTATTGTGAAGCTCTCTTGGGCTATCTAGGACCGCTGTTGGAAGCTTTTGCGGCCGCCCCGGGCCGCACAGACATCCACTTTCAGGATTTCGCAGAGGCACTTCGTCCGCAGTATGGTTTCTCGCATATATTCATCGAGAAACGCGATGCCAAAAAATCGTTGTTGCTGGCGGACATGTTTGTTGACATCAGTTTTTTGAGCTGGGGCCCCATGCAAACCTGGACGTCTGCTTTCACAGGCCTCCCTGACTGCCTCGGACGGTTCCCCGGTCGGCGGGGAGGGCCATTTGCCTCCCCAAGACGGCCCACGAGGCTCGCATGACTATGATGGGCTCGAGGACAGGCTGTCCTCGAGCCCATCATAGTCATGCGAGCCTCGTCCTCAGGACAGCTTTTAATCCAGACGGGCCAAGGCATCAAGAGCATGAATTCATTATTCTCAGTTCTAGAACTCCACAGCCATTTGACAGGCTCTGTTACATTGACCAACTTACTTTTCACCTTTCGTCCGCGCGTGCACTTACGTTACGGCCAGCAGACGTGGTGAAGCAGACGAATATGGATACCAGCCCCAAGAAGCAACCGGTGCCAGACCTGCTCTTAGCCAAACCCAAGCCCGTGCCAATGCCGACCTCCCAGCACCAGCATGCCAGGCTCTCTTTCGGCAGCTCCTCACCGGGCAGCAGCAAGCAGCAACCGCATCAGTCATCCGGCGACGATCTGACCCACTCGCCTGCAACGCCGCCTCGGACCCCTCTCACGCAGGAGGTGGACGAGCACGGCAGCCCTGTCCTGCGCAAGCTCGCGACGTCGCCTGGTTCTCCAGCCCAGAAGGTTTGGCAAGGGGCAAAAATGAGCCCTCACCGTGGCCGCTTGGAGAAGATCAATGAGCAGCAGTCGACTATGGCTACGGTCGAGGCTGGATGTGCAAAAGATGAGCAGTCGCCCCTGGGCGAGGCTGGCGATCCGCCACCCGCGGATGACTACAGCTGCTGGGGCTTCATCGTTCAGCACGAGCACGCCGTCAAGTTTTTGAAAGTGAAGAGTGTGAGCAGTGGTGCCATCAGGGGGAAGACAGTTGAAGTTCGTACTACTCCGAACAAGACGAGGACGAGGGGCATGACGGTGTACATCTTGGAGCGGGGCAACAACAAGGGTAAGTGCTGCTGGGTTATTGTCGCTCAGGGCATTTGGGACGGATACGAGACCTACAAATCGCGCGCAGACTACGACGCCGATTTTGACAAGCACCTGACTCCTTGGGACGCGCTGCCCGACAACAACAAGGCAGTGAACTTCGCCACGAAATTTCTGTACGCCTGGAAACTCAAAGACGTGCAGCCTTTTACTTCCAGTGATGGTCTTCCGGTCAAGGAGCCCATGGCCATTCCATGGAACAAAGAGCGGGTCCATGGGGGAGCAGAGAAGCGAAACGTGATCCCACTAGTTGGGCTTCGACCGCGGTCGAAAATTCCTTAGATCTGTGGGGCCGTTTGTCCTATTCGAATCGAGGCCATTCCCTCATCTGTCCCTTCGGGCCCCTTCGGGCCCTTCGGGCCCTGGCATTGGGGGTCGGCCTGGTTGCTTGACCGAATAACCATACTTATTTTCCGTTTCAGGTCTGGGTCAACTTCCGGATGTTCGACGTCTTTGCGATGCCAGCAACAATGTCTGCGCTTGCCAGCCTTCTGAAAAAGGAGACCGATGACTTCGCTGCAGACGTCACCAGGACAGAGCTGCTCGAGGAGGGCGATCGTCGCACGAGCGTCATCAGGGGGAGGGCCATCGCCGCCGCGGCGAAGACCGTGCAGAAGTCAGAGGTTCCGCGCGAGGAGCGCGAGCAGCCTGCGATGCAGCCCGCCTCCTCAATTTCGGGGTCGACGCCAGCCGCTGCAACGAAACAGCTGACCGACGATGAGGAGCCCGGCGCCATGGAGGACGAACTGTTCGGCAGCCCCGCCAGGCCGCCCAGTGCGAGGGCGCCGAGCCCCGCCCAGCCCGAGGCAGTCGGAAGCAGCCCATCGCCGCAAGTGTTGTTCTCGATGGATTCGACCCTGCCGAGCATGTCGAGCGAGAACGTCAACGAGGGCGGCGCGGGCGTTGACTTCCCGATGCCAGACGCTCTACAGGAATCGCCCACTATCCCTGCACCGGTCATCACTTACTCAAAACGCTTCGCTAATTACTCAGCGCTTCCAATGTTTTCCCCTCCCCCACCCTTTCCGCCATCTGGCGCGGGAAAGGGAATGCAATTTCACAAACGGTTGGCCCAATAGGTTTAGATTTTTCCAAAGCACGTGCAGGTTTGGGATCTCGGGGTTCCGCACGTTCCCGTCGACTGGCAACGCCCCCCCTCCTAGCCCGCCGCTTGCAGGATGATGGGGCACATTGCGAATAGGAGGGCGAGCCCTCGGACTGGAAGATTGAAGAAGACCAGGAGGAGGATGAGGAGGAGAGGAGGAGGAGGAGGAGGAGGAGGAGGAGGAGGAGGAGGAGGAGGGGAGTTAAGTTTTGAAGCTCCCGAGCACCCCCTGGTCCCCCCAGGGTGTTTTTGATCCCCTGATCCCCTTTAGGGGTAGAGGTAGGTTTGCTGAGGCGGTGGGTCCCAGGAACGTCGGAAAGCCTACCATCCCAATGTAAGCCTTCTGCAGGTTCCTACTTTGCGCCTGGCTTTGGGCGCGGCAGCCTTTGTGGGCAGGGTTACCCGCAAGTCTCGCTACAAGCAGGCCACTCAGAGTACGCGTGGCGGCGGTGGCTGCAAGCTGTCTGACGACGACGATCACTCGACAGGCCCTCTCCCGCCTGCGGACTACCCTCGCAACCTGATGGACTCGCGCAGCTGGGGCACCGACAACCTCGAGACGCTGAGAGCGCATTGCTACCACAACCCCACGGACAAGCACCTGCACTTTGGATCTGAGGATGGCCCGATCTTAGGTCCACCCAATATGAGCCTCGCTAAGTTGTACATGGACATCGTGGCGAAGAGGACGGTCAGCCTCGGGTACGCTGGCATCGACGCGCCGTCGACGAGCATCATGATGCAGTCGCTGGCGGCAGCCGACCTGGTCGACCGCGCAGGTCCAGTCCCCAAGCCCCGGGTGCTGTGGGCCTTCGAGAATGACCCCGAATGCCAGAAGGAATTGATGAGGCATCCTTGCGGCGTCGAGAGGATTTTCGGCGATCTGCGGAACCTGTGGGCGCCGAGCATCAGGAAGGCCCTCCAAGGTCTTGAGGATCGACGGGCCATTGAAATCCTCGAGCGCCGGGGTCCGCGGGCCCCTCTCTCCCGGGCCCCCCGCCTCAATCTCTCTCACCGTTCGTCCTCCAGCTTAGTTTCCAGATCTCTCCCCCCGCCTTCCCCGAGGCAGGGGGAGCGGGGGTCAGGGCGAGGAAGATGAGGGACGCAGAGGATTGCGTTACGTCTATGTCGCTGCCCAGGACAAGGCCAAGCCTGCAACGCTGGCGTCGCTCATGCCCCTGATCCATTCCACTGAGGCGGTCCAGCTGAGGGCCGATTGCGCGAAGGCGAAGTGCGTCCAGAACATCAGAACGACGGACGTCCACGTTGCAGGAATAAGTTGTCGCCCGTTCGCGCCTTGCGGTCAGCAGCAAGGAACGTCTTCTTGGGAGATGTCGGCGCTTGGAGCTTGGGGCGCCCTCATGATCAAGCTGGAGCCGAAGACCATCGTCGTGGAACAAAGCCACAGGTTCAACGTGAGCATTCTCCAAGAAATCTTCCAGGGCCGGTACCTGTGGCAAGTCATGATCTTGAACGGCACAGACTTTGGTATGAAGATCCGTCGCAAGCGATTCTACGCCGTCGGTCACCATGTCGAGAAAGTTGGGGGAGCCATCTGCAAAATGGATAACATACTGCCGCTCTTGTACCGCGAAGTGAAGGACGGCCAGAACTTCACGTACCGGGACTACATGATCGCGAGCATCATGCCAGAGTTTCACCATGAGATCGACGACGAGCTCGAGTGGGCTATCAGCAGGCCCAAGAGCAGGGCCAAGGGAACACCGCTATCGGAAGTGAAGCAGAGGACTCGTCCCTTCGACTCCGCCCTCACCGAGGTTGAGATGGACAACCTGATCAAGTACGAGATGGCCACCATGCAGGGGTCTCCCTGCAACATCGTTCAGAGCTTCGACAGCAGGCCTTCCTACGGCACGGTTGACACCATGCACACCATTATTGCGAATCCAGGGATTCACTTTTGCACTTCAATTTCTGTGAGGCGCTGGTTCACTCCGAGTGAGCTCATGGTCGCCCAGGGCATCCCCATCCACCGTACGTTCGCGAACCCGAGGGGCCGCAACTACACGACTACACCGTACCTGATTCCAGCGAACCGTAAGAGGGCTAAGGTCCTCCAGCAAATTGGGAACACAATGCAGATTCCAGTGGTGGGGACAGTTCTATTCTACCTGATGCTATTCACGAAATGGTGAAGGGCATGCCGCACGTCATGTCCACGAGAGGCTGTCATTGCACGTTCGGTCTCCTCTGGCAGCCAGCTTGCGCTGGCTATCTAGTGCTCGATGGCACTGGTCGTCTGATAAGGGGAGGCAGGGGGACAACGAGTAATAAACAATACCGCCGTCGCCTCCGTCGTCGTCGTCGTGTTCGTCGTCGTCGTCGTCGGCAGCGTCGGGCCCCTTTCACGGCACTCCTGGAGCCGTTTCGGGCCCATGTCAGGGCGCTCCGAAGGGCCTCATGGGCATTCTTGTGGCCTTCCCAGGATCCCCGGACTCTTCCAGAACAGCCTGGGAGGGCTATAAGTCCAAGAAGGCCCTGACACAGCCCCACGAAGGCTCCGAGAGACGCGCGGGAGTGTTCGTGTTGAAGGCCCCTCCAAACGAACGTTCCGAAGCCCCACCTGAAGTCATCTTGGAGCCGTCTTCGGTCCATCTTGGGGCAGTCCTGCGGTCCTTACCGGCGCTCCTGTGGCCTTCCCGGAGCCCTCGGTTTTTTCCACGACAGCCTGGGAGGGCCCCAAGAGAGGTCCAAGAACACTCCGGCAGGGGCCTCCGAATGTTCGTCTTTAGGCCCCGCAAACAAAAAAACACTCCCAAGCTCCTTTCGTGGTCCTGGAAGAGCTGTCTTGGGTTCAGTTGGAAGCCCTCCTGGGGTCCTCACGGGCGCTCTTGTGCCCTTCCCAGAGCCCTCGGACTCCCCCAGAACACCCTGGGATGGCTCCAAGAGAGCCCTGCATGGGCTCCAGGAAGGCTCCCTGAGAGGCCTGCGAGTGTTCGTTTTCAGGGCCCGTGAAAACAAACACTCCCAAGCTTTTTGTTAGGGCTCCCGTGGGGCCGTCTTGGGGGCGCTCCTGGGGCAATCTTGGAAGTGATCGTTCGAAAACACGATGGATCCACGAACCCGGAAAGCTATATAGACATGTGCAGCATGGTCGCGTTTTCACGATACCCAACTGGGCGACGCCACACGAAACATCCCACGAGACACCTCGCGAAACATCCCACGAGACACCTCGCGAAACATTCCACGAAACACCTCGCGAAACATTCCACGAGACACCCCGTGAGACATTCCACGAGACACCCCGCGAACAGGCAAACACTCAACCATGAGAGGGGTATAGACATGTGCAGCATGTTCACATTTTCACGATACCCAACTGGGCGACACCTCACGAAACATCCCACGAGACACCCCGCAGAAAACCCCACGGGACACCTCTCGAAACATTCCGCGAGACACCCCGTGAAACATTCCACGAGACACCCCGTGAAAACATTCCACGAGACACCCCGCGAACAGGCAGCCCCCCAATTCCAACGCCTTTCTCGGCCTGTCCTAATTCAGGGTGAGGTCCTTCAGCCTTGGCCCTTTTTCGGGATGGGCGTTGATCAAGGGTTCGGCTTTTTGGGGCGCGTCCCAATTCAGGGTGAGGTCCTTTGGCCCTGGCCCATGCTCCTTGACCCCCGATCCCAACGGCCTCCGCTGGCCTGTCCCAATTCAGGGTGGGGTCCTCCAGCCCTGGCCCCGTTCGGGGCGGGCGTTGATCAAGGGTTCGGCTTTTTGGGGCGCGTCCCAATTCAGGGTGAGGTTCTCCAGCCCTGGCCCGGGCTCTTTGACCCCCCATCCCAACGCCTTTTCTGGTCTGTCCCAAGACAGGGTGAAGTCCTTCAGCCCTGGCCCCGTTCGGGGTGGGCGTTGATCAAGGGTTTGGCTTTTTGGGGCGCGGTCCAACTCAGGGTAAGGTCCTCCGGCTCCGGCCCTTGCTCTGTGGCTCCCGATCCCAACGGCCTCTGCTGGCCTGTCCCAATTCAGGGTGAGGTCCTCCAGCCCTGGCCCTGTTTGGGACGGGCGTTGATCAAGGGTTTGGCTTTTCGGGGCGCGTCCCAATTCAGGGTGAGGCCTTCTAGCCCTGGGCAGTGCTCCCGGACCCCAGTCCCAGCGCCTCTCCCGGCCTGCCCCAACTCAGGGCGATGTCCTCCAACCCAGGCTCAGTTCGGGACGGGCGTTGTTCAGGGCGTTCGGTTTCTGGGCGCGTCCCAATTCAGGGTGAGGTCCTCCGCCATGGCTCCCATTGTGTGACTTCCAATCCCAACCCGTGTCCTGATCGCCCGTTCGCGCGGGTGTGGTCATGCTGGGGCGTGGTCGTGCTGGGGTGGGGTCGTGCTGGGGCGGGGTCGTGCTGGGGTGTGGTCGTGCTGGGGTGGTCCGCACCCCGTTGATTTATCGATTGGGTCGTGCTGGGGTGTGGTCGTGCTGGGGTGTGGTCGTGCTGGGGGTGTGGTCGTGCTGGGGTGTGGTCGTGCTGGGGTGTGGTCGTGCTGGGGCGTGGTCGTGCTGGGGCGTGGTCGTGCTGGGGTGTGGTCGTGCTGGGGTGTGGTCGTGCTGAGGTGGGCCGCGCCTTGTGATTTATCGATAAGGATTTCAAAAACAAGCGTTTCGCCTGAGAGATCCTCAAATTTTAATCCGCCGGCCCACCTCGACCTCGATATTTATCAGGGAAAGAATCCGCCGGCCCACCTCAGTTGAGGCACCGGGGACAGGTTTACCTACTAAAAGAGAACCCTGGGCCGGCGCCCTTTCTGGGAAAAAAATGATTTCCTAATTTGCGTTGCCCCCTCGGCAGCCACGATCCTCGTGGGGAGCGTCGAATAATTGACCCTCTGAGAGACCGAAGAAGCATCCTAAAGTACAACCTCGCGGCCCCCTCCGTCCACGTCCAGGTGGGGGGGCAGCAGGAGGGGCAAACCCCTCCCCGAAGGGGAAGCGGGAGGCCCGGGGTGGAAGAAGAAGTGCCTTAGACCACTTACTCCTCAAAGGGCTGGTGGTATTCTTCGTCGCGCGAGGGTCGCCGGAGAGATGGCGTAGCCAAAAGATCGTGCCCTGGGTCCCCACGAGAAGGAGAGATATTTCCTGGGATTGGGGAGGCGGAGGGGACGGCACCAGGGTAGATGAGGACAACGACAAGCAATATGATGAGAGCAACGTGGGGTGGGAGAGGAACGGGGAAGGACCTGGACGACGCCGTGCCAACGCAATCTCAGGAAGTGCTGCAGCCGGCCCCGGCAAGTGCAGATTTAACTACATATCATCCTCGCACGCACCCTCTCGCTCGCCACTTCCGCCTCCTTCTTCCTCGTCCTCACCGCTCATCCCCCTGCTCGCCACTTCCTCCTCCTTCTCCCCCTCCTGCTTCTCCTCCCGATGGCCCCCCCGTTCTTCCCCTCCTCATGGTTCTCTTCAGCCAGATGCATGTGCTGTGCGAGAAAGCTTCGGAAGTGTTTCCGTTGCTCAGGACCCAGGACCTCCGAGCTCATCAGACTAGACTTGTGCACGTGGGCAGCGCGCCTGTGCATGTGATTTGCCATGCTGCTTCGTGACAAGCTTGGCGCAGTATGGACGATGATGCAGATGTCCTTGATAATACATATTCGATTGGCCTACTACGCTGCTTCTGCGCTGTTCCAACGTCTGCAGGAATGAGCGAACAAACAGAATTCCTCGGATGATGCGTGATGCAGAAGACCTGTTTAACACGGCCCGGCTGGGCCAACTTCCACTCATCTCCTGTAATTTTGCGTGCCCTCAACAGACGTCGACTTTGGGATGCCAGGGGGGTATTTGGCACAGGGCAGACAATCCTGTTAACGTATGATCACGAGTACGCGACGACGAGGACGACAACAGTCGCAACGACGTGGATGGCGACGGCGGCGGCGTTCCCCCTGATACGAGTCGCGTGCTTTTCTAGGATGTCCTTGACTTTTGGCAGGATGTCCCGAGCGAAATGCACGACCCCACCCTTGCACGACCACACCCCAGCACGACCACACCCCAGCACGACCACACCCCACCACGACCCCACCCCAGCACGACCCCACCCCAGCACGACCACACCCTAGCACGACCACACCCCAGCACGACCCCACCCCAGCACGACCCCACCCCAGCAAGACCACACCCCAGCACGACCACACCCCAACACGACCTCACCACAGCACGGTCAGCACAACAAGAAAGACCAGCACGACCACCCCCCAGTACGACCACCCCCCCAGCACGACCACCCCCCAGCACAACCACCCCCCAGCACGACCACACCCCAGCACAACCACTCCCCAACACAACAACGCCCCAGCACGACCACACCCCAGCACGACCACACCCAGTCGCACCCCCGTGGAATGTTTCGTGGGGTGTCCGGTTCAGTGGTTGCTTGTTCGTGGGGTGTCTCGTGGAATGTTTCGCGGGGTGTCTCGTGGAATGTTTCGCGAGGTGTCTCGTGGAATGGTTCGCGAGGTGGCTCGTGGGATGTTTCGCGGGGTGTCTCGTGGGATGTTCCGCGAGGTGTCGCCCAATTAGGTATCGTGAAAACGTGGCCACGCTGCGCATGTCTATATCCCTCGTCGCCCACGTCGCCCTCGGTGCCAATTCGGCTCCGCCATTGCAGCTACTGTGCATGCGTGAACTCCCGGGGATCGCATTTTTCATCTCGCTTCGAGATTCGCTCAGATGCCGGGCCAGAGGGGGCAACGACAATCGCAGCTTGGCAAAGGGAGGAGGCCGCAGCAGTCGCGGCCGCCGCAGAAGCGGGCACGGCGCAGTCATAACGATTCTGATGACGACGACTTGCCGTTGTCACAGCCGACTCCGGGGGCGAAGGCCAGGGCGACGGGCAAGGCTGCGCCCAAGGCGACATCGACGCCGCCCAGGAGGAGGGCAGCACCATCGTCGGCGAGCTCCCCACCAGCAAGCGCAGCCAGAGCACCGAAGGGGCCGAAGGGCGCCAGTGGTCAGGCCAAAGCGGGCATCAGCATCGCCCATCGGTATCCCAACATCCCTGCTGGCAACTTGCTGCTCAAGGGGGTGCAGAAATATTGGCGGGTGA